TTTTTTTTTTTTTTTTTTTTTTTTTTTGGAATTACCATTTTTATAATTAACGTGTACCATGTAGTTGAAAATAAATATTATTATTACATTTATGTCTCAGTCCAAGCTATTTTCATAACTTTATGTTTGTACGGGTAACTGAAGAAATCTGTACGCTAACAATCGATGTTTTTGTGCATTTTCTAAGGTGATATACGGTATATTCAGATAAATGTTCTCTTACCAGTTGCCCATCATTTCTATACGCAAGCTATAAGTGGACTGTTTAGTAAGGCGATAGATTGCGTCATTTCCCAGCCAGAAACTTCTTGTAAGACATCCAAATCCCTCTTTGTATCCTTTCCAATCTGAAATATGCGAAATACATAAAAAATCCGTAAATATCAGTGTTTTATGGAGGCATATTGCTTACGGTTCTGGTTGCGGTATAAAATATCATTACTATTATTCATATACATATGATGCATATTCATATAACATACATGTACGTACTCAGAACGGTAATAACATGTGTTAAACAAGCACACAGGCACAAGCATGTTTTAAGTACAAAGAATTAAAAAGCAAGCTAAGCAAATTCAAACGTTCTAATTTGACAGCGTCACCTCTTTTGAAATCTTCATCTCCTAAATTTCTCTGAATGACTGTCCAGCCGTCCTTACAGTAAGCAGGGAAGGTTGTAGTGGCGCCATCTGTTTGGATGTTAAACACTCCTGGAGATGTCAGCCCAGATGTATAGATCTCTGAGCAATCTATTTGGAACGGAGGGGAAACAAAATTTTTACAAAACAGTAAAGTTGAAACGGTGGACCTTTTTCAAAAATTAAAGCAATAAAAAAGAAATATTAATATTAATAAAAAGTATTCCTACATCTGTTCAGAGGAACAACAGGGACAAGAAACCAATTTAATGTATACATACAATTGTATGTATATAATGGTACCAGTATGAAAGAACCATTGCAAATGAAAATTGTGCCATTGCCACTAAAATACAAAATGCGTAGATAGTAACACAAGGCAATCAAACAGCACAGACTTATTTCACGGGACTGCACTTGTATTTTATTAAACTGTTTTAACGCTGGAGTATGATTAAAGTTCTTCACTTACCGCGAAACGCCCCTTTTCCCGATACGTTCACTTTGAAAGCTACCTAGAACGTGTACCAAGTATAAGTGAACAATATTGAATTGAACTGAACATCTATCAAATTAAACGAAACGTAAGTAGTAGCAAACGACCTGAGGTAATAAAGCGTTGATCTAAAGTAAATATTCCCTTTTTGAAATGTTAAATACTCTTTCCGCATTTCCTTTTAAAGGCATATTTATATATAGAGAGGGAGAGATACATTTACGATATAATTGAAAATTACCTTTTTTCCGTATCATAGAAACTTTGGCTTTTTTTCTGGAGTTTTCTGTCTTACTTACTTTTCTGTAACTCTGGCACCCAGGCGTCATCATAGTGGTGCTCCCACATCTCTCTGGGTCTTCGCTGATCAGTTCACAAAGGAATTTCTCCACACCAACTTGTATCCAGTTAAAGGACTGGCATCTCGGATTGGACAAACAGGCATTGGAACATTCACCTACGCTTCCAACATAATAAACCTCCTCCGTATTTCCAATAATGCAGAGATTCTGTTCGAATAACTTTTTAAATTTACCTATTCGTATTTTTTTAGAGGACGCAAAGCCATTTAATAAAATGCTAATATACAAGAATGGCGAAATAAATGTCCACATTTTCATTTGTGTCTGACGTTTTAGTTTTAGAAAATGTTCAGTATTCTAAAACGAACTTCAATTCCTATCCACTAGTATTTCTTAGGCAGAAACAGAGAGCTCTGGGTTTTTATGCGGAACGTCGATATTCGAACAGTGACGTCATACATGAACGAGAAAGAGTATTACATCATTTTTCATGGGCACACAGGGAATTAGGAAATTCAACTATATTGGCATATTAAGCATTCGTAATAGTTTCTATTCAAAAATGAAAATAATGACAATTTTTGGGGATATTGATTTAAGCTTGTAAGCTTTCCTTAATTCAACAGTATCTCGGCGATTCAGCCTTGATGCGTGTTGTCTTCCAGTGCATTGCCTTCAATAGTCTTATTATCACCGCACCATAGCCATTCACGCAGCGCGTCCGACAATTTTTTTTGAATGCATTTCTAGCAAAAAAAAAAAAAAAAAAAAAAAAAACATTCTGTTCTTCATGGATTTAATAAAATCAGCTGTGCATAAGTGTTTATAGTTCATAAAAAAAGTCCAAACATTTGTTCTTATTTGGTTAAGCCATATTAAACTAACAACGATTTATATTATGTGATTGAAGGCATTTGATCAGATCACTAATTAATGTAGATGATCTATAAAACATCTGTCCCTCGATCAAAGAACTGCGGCAAAGCATGATTATGGATGAATCAGTTAAAGACGCACGTGCCTGGCCTTTTGTCAATCATGCAAAAATATTTACATGACATTTACTATGGGTCTAGGGTCATATTTATAAAATTATTATTAAATAGTTGGATATTTGTTATTTAAACTCATTACTTTGAAGAAACTTTGGTTTCTTAATTTAGCTGGGTGTTTGTGTGGTTGTGTGTGTGTGTGTGTGTGTGGGGGGGGGGGGGGG